TCCATTTTCGGAAATTAGGCACAATATCTACATTAAATTATGGTATACCGGATTAACTTGAAAGGGTTGATAGCAAATAAATATTATTACCTACTAAGATAACAAATTCAACAGTGGTGAACTATTGAGTTTCAGTCCTTTATTTTCAACGTGTAGAATTTCGAAATCATCATCAAAACTATGGTTTTCTTCTAATATATGGTTGGCGTATGTTGAATTTGTTTTCTTTTTCAAAAAATTCATCTTATGTTCATGAATAATGCGCTGATTAAACGTACGACCTGTCTGACCGATAGGACAAGATCCACAGTTGAGTTTGTATACCCCTGATTTTTCGAATTTAGAAGTTTTGTCTTTATTATATTTGATAAAACTTCCCAACCTATGGGTTTGACTTGAATCAATTTGGTTCTCAACAGAAAAGTGGTACACAGTCAGCAGTTTTACAAGTATTAAATTTTATACAAGATAGACTTGACAAAGGGAATTATATAGTAGCTATTTTTATGGACCTAAAAAAAGCATAATATGATACAGTTGACCACAATATTCTCCTGAAAAATCTTAATTCAATGGGCATCAGAGGTATTGGAAACAATCTCTTGAAAACATATCTAGAAAAAAGAACTATCAGTACTAATATCAATAATTGTGAATCTAAAATCCTATATATAAACAAAGGAGTTCCTCAAAAGGATCAGTGGTGGGCCCAATTTTGTATCTTTTATACATTCAAAATATTTCAAAAATAAATTTAATAGGAAACTATGTCATATATGCAGATGACACAGTACTTTTATTTGAAAACAAAAACCCTGTAATTTTAGAAAACAACATAAATGAGGATTTGAAAAAAATGGAAGAATGGCTATACTCCAATCTTCTTTCCCTTAATTCTAATAAGACCCAATATATAATTTTCCATCAAAGAAATAAACAAAATATTGATTTGAATATTAGAATAAAAAATGAAAGATTGAAACAAACTGCCTATACCTTGGTATTTGGATTGATGAAAAGTTAACATGGAACAAGCATATTGGCATGCTCAAAGAAAAAATTTCCCCCATAGTTGGTGCCTTAAGAAGATGTCCAAAACTTCTCCCAAATATAGCAAATACCGTTCTATACTCTCACATCCTTAGTAAAATGAACTATCTCATAAATATTTGGGGTTCATGTTCTAAGAATGATTTCAACAAAATATCTGTACTATATAAAAAAGCATTAAAAGTACTGTATCGTCTTCCATATGACACCCCATCAAATCAACTTTATGAAGAAACAAATACATTTTCTTTGGAAGAGCACTATCTGATAAATACTCTAAAAATTTCTTTTGATATTATCAACAAACACCTCAAATCTAACTTCATATTGGTAAGGAATTCTCAAATTCATGAACATCATACTAGACAATATGACTTGTTTCATCTTGATGCTGCTCATTCTACACTTGGTCAAAAAAAGTTCACTCACGGAGCTATCTCAAAATCAAAGTCAAGAAACATATCCTCTTGCAAAGAGAAAATCAAACCTGAGTGAATGATTTCTCATTGACTAATTTATTTCATCATGTCATAATGTACTTTTCATGAGCTTTGTGTTTTTTTTTTCATATTCTGTTGTTTATTTCAATAACTATAATTCAATTTGATAACGCATGAATAATCTCATACCAGATATGAATCTGTCTGATTATTCATGTTATTCCATTGAAAATGTTAATGATTATATTTATATTTATATGAGATGCAATGTAATGTTTATAGCAAAGATTGAAATAAAGATTGAATTGCATGAATACTCTAAAATACTCAAAACCTGTTATTTATTGTTCTATACGCTACTCTTCAAGTCCTGTCTTTGTAAAAATGAAGCTAATTTTTCAGTTGATGATCCGAAATAGGTTGAAGTTCTATAATTTTTATTTGTGTTATCTGCAAAAAGAAGCTTCACGATCGCCCCCAAAAAAATAAAATAGAAAACTAAAAAAAAAACGAACATATTTGCCCAGTCGGCAGGTCGTGAAAAAGGGGTGTCACGATGAAAAATTCAGAAGTTGATGAAATTTTAGTATGTTATTTGTACATGTTAATTGATGTCAAATCCAAGTTTTCGACCTCGAGGAGGTTGTGGAAAATTTTTGGCGGTCAAAAAACCTCGAAATTTTCGGACTTGTTTCAGTTTTTCACCTATAACTCGACAACGGTCGATCCTACGGGAAAAAACATGGTATACTAAATTAAAGGAGACAAAATTCCCCGTTGACTCACGAAAAAAAAACTGAAATCGGAGAAGTAGTAAAGTTTTCACGAGCGATCGAAATATGGTGATTATTTCGAATTTTGGTAAAACCTGCCATAACCCCATTTTCAAAGTGCTGCATCTTTTTTATTATTCATCTCAGAAAAAAAGTTATTCCTCTTAAAAAGTTCTGTATGTCCTAAAATCTGCAATACAATCATCCGATATCATTTTTTTTCAGTCTAATACACGGTGAGCCAAATATAAAGGTACTTTACTCTTGGGTACAATTCACATTTTTCGACACACCGCGTATATGACTGAATAATTTTTATATCTGATGATTGTATTTCAGATTATAGAATATGCAAAATTTTTTATGAAGAATAACTTTTTAGTGAAACTTACTGTATTTAGGTAGAAATAAATCTTGAGAATTTATTATCCTTACACAAGCTGTTACTAATTCTGTTATATGGATATGGAAACCGTCAGAGATAAAACAAAGTTCAAAGGGAGGCAAAGTTGCGTAAACAGAAGTCCAACAAAATGCAGTTAATAAATAAAGAAAAAACCGCTTATTTTAGGAGATATACGTCAGAAAATCAATTTGATATTGTCATTCTGTATGACGTAGGTCATTAGAAGTACCAATGATTATGTTGAATTACTGTCCATTGAATAAAGTTGTTAATAACTAAATAATGGGTCACATTCTTTTAGTTTTCTTCATGTATATCTCCTGAGATAGTTGTATTTTTTAAGGTTTATTGTCTGCATTTTTTGGGGCTTATGATTACGTAACTTTGCATTCATTCAAACATAGATAGATAGATAGAGATAGATTTATTTGTTTCAAAATCATACAGTTTAAGAAAAAAACATCAAAATATGAGCGTAGGTAGGTATATTCACCAAGCAGCCTTAGGGTCTTCGGCTAAGAACATCTGGTTCCAGAAAAGTGGAAAAGGGAACGTCCCCAGCGTCATGTACTCCGCTACATCGTGTAAATTCCATTCCGAAGAAATTCTCTTTCTCCATGCCATAAGTGGATGCGACACTACTTCCGCACCCTTTGGTTTGGGAAAGAAGAAGGTTTGCAGCACGTACGCGAAGAATCCCTTCCTTACGCCCAACGTTTTGATTTTCACCAAACCAGATGCCACTGCATCAGAAATTTGTGAAGCGGGCGAAAAATTTCTGGTGACAATGTATGGAGGAGACCCCGAGCGAGAAAATCTTGATGGACTGCGATACAAAATATTCACCAAGTCGGTGTCAAAAGCCAAATTTCAACTTGCCAGGCTTCCACGTGATGCTGGTAGGTATCATTCCTTCCGTACATACCAGCAGGTACAAACTTGGTTAGGAAACAACAAGATCCCTGCAGATTGGGGGTGGTCCCTAACCAAGCAAGGAGTGGTACCTATCACCACTACGAAGAATGCAGCCCCTGAGTCTCTCCTGAAGATTCTTGCCTGCAAGTGTGCCAGAGGCTGCAGCACCGCGGCCTGTAGTTGCAAGAAGGCAGGCCTGCGGTGCTCAGTTATTTGCAAGCACTGCTCCGGCCACGCCTGCGAGAACTCGCGCGTGCCAGAACTCAATGAGGACGACGAAGAGGAGGACGACGACCTCCTGGAAGATCTCATCGGCCAAGAGGAGCACGAACTTGAGGACGACGACGTCGAACCTCAGCCAAAAGGGTCTCGACTCAATCAATGTATGTATCTCCATTCATTATTATTCATTAGCGTTCTTATTTTTTACATGAAATATTTCATTGTTGCCTTTTTTCTCGCAGAACAGAACCTTCGAAGACTCGATATGAAGACTGATGCAGATACATTATGTATTATATAGTGTGTAGATATGTATATGTTTTTATGCTATACCTACTAATGAATTCTTCGTAAATATATTTTTTCACATAATTACATTTATTATCTATTGGGTATGACATTGTTCTCCGTCAACCATTATTATTTTCCTAGGTATCAATAAAATTGAGACGGAATCACAAGGTGGTCATGGGTCATTGGGATCATTTACCCCAAGTAAAAAGCATAGAATCAATAGGTAGCTATTTTCGAGAAACGCTAATTTTTTAAAAACAGTCCCAACAATTTCAGAAATTGAGCTGATTTCAAAATGTTAGCGCATTTTGAACTCTCTGATTGATACTCTACAAACTCTAAGGAGGGAGGTTGAAAAAAAAAGTAATTTTGTAAAGATACGGCACTTTGAAAATGGGGGTGACGGCAGTTTTTACCAAAATTGGAAATAATCACCATACTTTGATCGCTCGTGAAAACTTTATTACAGCTCCGATTCCAGTTTTTATTTCGTGAGTCGACAGGAAATTTTGTTTTCTTTATTTTAGTATACCGTGTTTTTTCCCGTAGGATTGACCGTTGTCGAGTTATAGGTGAAAAACTTAAACAAGTCCGAATATTTCGAGGTTTTTTGGCCGCCAAAAATTTTCCACAACCTCCTCGAGGTCGAAAACTTGGATTTGGCATCACTAAACATGTACAAACAACATACTAAAATTTCATTAACTTCTGAATTTTTCATCGCTAAAACTACCTGCCGACTGGACTATATTTTATTTTTCACAAACAAAGAATAAACATAATTTCTACAAAAAAAAAAAAGATAAAAATACTTTGTTCCTATAATTGTAAATTTTCATTATTATCAGTGAAGAGAGACTACACTAGGTTGCTAATTAATCTAATTAAAGCCAAACGATCTAATTACTTCAGGCAGTTGCTGTTTCCTTAGCGACAACATTGACAGCCGGATTGACAGCTTCGACAACACGATTTGCGTCAGTGTTGTCGGGAATTTCATTCAAGGTCGTTACCATTCGGTCAGCTTCGTCTTCAATAACGGCCTCGATGTTCTCGCGTTCTGTTTCAGTTGTTGATGGAATGTCATTCGATGTTGCCGATGCCTGTGATGTATATATTGTGAGCTATATAAACCACTCAACACTAATTTCGTCGCACACCAAAATGTCGCTTCTGTTATAATGTGAATAATTTTTTTCAGTTTAGAACAATTTGAATTTGGTTCACACTGTTCGATAGCCCAGTCCTTCAGCTATAATCTCGTACTTCATTGAAACATAAGGGTATTCACATAAAATCTCTACATGGTGTTTTCCGACACTGTGCGAAATTTCGGAATATTCAAAAGGCTCTCAAATGGTGATATTTCGCGAATCAACTTCCTATCTCTCTTATTTACAGGGTGATCTCAAAAAATCAACTTTTTGGTTTTGCAGCCATAACTTTTTTTTACGTCAACCGATTCTGGAAGTCTTAGGCTTATTTTGAAGATAAAACTTCAGATGAAGAGATCTGAATATCAGAATTGACTCAAGATGGCTATCAAAGATCTAGAGTTTTCTTGAAAGTGACCCAAATCTGGAACGCCCTTCGAATCTTGGTTGGGAGGAGAATTGAATGAAAATCAACTTGTTCTCAGAAAAACAATTCATTCTGGATGCGTCCATATTTTCCTCGCTCTCAGTAGTCAAGAATTGTGCGTGAGAAAACACAATTGGAACATGTTCTTGCAAAAACATTAGATCATTTCTACTCTGTAATGCATGGCCCGCCGTAACCAACGTTACAAGAATCACAATGAGTGACTGACAAACCCGACCAGCTGAGACTCATCATAAATGGTGTACCAACAAGAGCAACGGATTTTGATTTTTTCAATAAAGTGATTTTTTTAACAGTTGTCACGTACATAACATGCGATTTAAGAATATGGAGAAGTATTAGAAAAAGAATTAGTAGAAAATAATAAAGAATTATGTATTTGTTTTTCCTCAAGAAATAATAAAGTCGATATTATTATTATTATTATTATTATTATTCAAGCAAACAACGTTTATTTATTGTGAAAACGCATTACAAAAATGGTGAAAGTTTCACGAAAACAGTTTGCCAATTACGTAAAGTTTTCAGTCGCAATAATGCGTCGAACGAATCGACAGTAATAAACAAAAAATTCGTGTCGGAAAAAAGCCCTTTGAATGGATCGGACTGTCGTGTTTAGCAGATCCGCGATTTGGAGGGAAGATAACCCTTGTTTCCTCATTTGTGGAATCAGTTCCAACTGGTCGGTCGTTAGATGCGGCATCGAAACTATCAAAATCTGTTTATGATTCGAAAACGACGTCTAACCTGACTTGTCAGTCACTTACTGTGATTCTTGTAACGTTGGTTACGGGCCATGCATTACAGAGGAGAAATGGTCTGATGTTTTTGCAAGAACATGTTTCAATTGTGTTTTCTCACGCACATTCTTGAGTACTGAGAGCGAGGAAAATATGGACGCATCCAGAATGAATTGTTTTTCCGAGAACAAGTTGATTTTCATTCAATTCTCCTCCCAACCGAGATTCGGAGGGCGTTCCAGAGATAGGAAGTTGATTCGCGAAATATCTCGAGGTAATGAGATCATCTTCATGCCTCTGTTGTCGAAGTTGAGAAAAAAATTGTTTTCACCATTTGAGAGCCTTTTGAATATTCCGGAATTTTGCACAGTGTCGGAAAACACCATGTAGAGATTTTATGTGAATACCCTCATGTTTCAATGAAGTACCAGATTATAGCTGAAGGACTGGGCTATCGAACAGTGTGAACCAAATTCAAATTGTTCTAAACTGAAAAAAGTTATTCACATTATATCAGGGGCGACATTTTGGTGTGCGACGAAATTAGTGTTGAGTAGTTTATTATCAGTGGTAATAGAATCGAAAGTAATACCTTGAGGCATTGAAACTTTTTAAATAATTTATTTTTATTTCCTACGAACATATTTTTAATTGTCAAAAATATTAAAACAAAACGACAGACTCGTCGGGGTCGGAGATTGTGATTCTTTCGTCAAAATTGGTAAATTCAAGATGGCGGATCCAATATGGCGAACGAGTTTTGTAATTATGATCCGAATCTATTCAAAATTTGTATCTGGTGGTTTTCGGTGTCAAAGATTATGATTCTTCCGTTAAAATTTGAAAATTCAAGATGGCAGATCCAATGTGGCGGTCGTGTTTTGTAATTATGACCCGATTGTAGTCAAGACTGATATCTGAGGTTTTATGGAATGGAGATTACGATTCTTTCGTCGAAATTGAAAAATTCAAGATGGAGATCACCAGAGAATAATAAATCTTGATTTAACCTATATAATACCCATTACATAAATATGAATGTTTTTGATTGTTTTTATTACCTAGTATGGTGTTCTCAGTGATTGTGATTATAGAGTTTCTTCATATCCATATTGCATATAGGCCTGTAGGTCAGTGTAGGTACCTATACATATACATTTTCATTTCATTTTCTTATAATAGTGAAAAATGCGTTTTTGCTACCTCCTGTAGCGCTGCTATGCCATACAGTTTCAGAATTATTCATTTCAAAAATGGCGAAATTAGGTGGTTCTTAATTTGAACCACTTAGCAATACGAACTGAAATGATTTCACAAATATCAAGGAACATTTAATAATGAAATGCAGTACAAACAAACAGTACAAAAAACGGGTGGCGGAAATTTGATCGAAAGACAAATGATAGAAAAACATTTGATAGAAGTCTTTTGATCGAACGTGTTTTTGATAGAATTTGATCGAATGTTTTATGATAGAAAATACATTTGATAGAAACATAAATGATAGAAAATACAATTGGTAGGAAAAATATTTGATAGAAAATACACTTGATAGAAACAGCATTTGATAGAAAATTCAACGGGGCTACGCTCAAGTTAGGTCAGTACGTTTGTGAAGCTATGATCCTTCTTCATATATTTGAGAAGAAGGAGCTAGATGGAAATCGAAGCTTATGAATTTATTGATACCACAAACTTCTAGCTCCTTCTTCTCAAATATATGAGGAAGGATCATATCTTCACAAACGAACTGACCTAACTTGAGCGTAGTCCCGTTGAATTTTCTATCAAATGCTATTTCTATCAAATATTTTTTCTATCAATGGTATTTTCTATCATTTATGTTTCTATCAAATGTATTTTTTATCATAAAACATTCGATCAAATGTATTTTCGGTGAAAAGTTCTTCTTCTCTGCACAGGTGGGCGGACCCCTGCACTCAGGCCTCTTCAGTCGGGCCCATTGTGCGCCCACTTGTCCTGTGAATCAGCTGGGCATGCCGATTTCTTTGACGAACTTCAGCAGCTTCCTCAGCTGAGTCGCTTTCACATCCTTTGGGTGCAGTACAATGCTCCCAAAGGCAGCTTTCCTCTGATGCACCAGCACGGGGCATTTAGTGAGTATGTGTGATGATGTTTCATCATCCTCCAAGCACCATCTGCAGATGGGATCATCTTTGATCCCTATGAGTTATAGGTGCCTGTTGAGGTGGTTGTGCCCAGTTAAGAGCCCAACTACCATCTTGAGATCCCTTTTATGAAGTGACAGGATCTCTCTCGTGAGCATTTTTGAAGGTTCCTTTATATGGAGCTTTGATTGTCTCATTCCTGGTGTGTCCCGCCATGTTTCAAGGAACTGTCTGTAGCATTACCTTCATGAAGGACATAGCCGTACTATTGGGTATTCCCAATATCGGTTCTGGTCCAATGGGTGTCGTTCCTGAACCGATCTTGGCTAGTCTGTCTGCCTCCTCGTTCCCCGGGATACCAGAGTGTCCTGGAACCCACATGAGGCTGACTTTACTAGTTTTTGCCATATTTTCTAAGGCACTTCTACACTCGGACACCAATTTAGTTGTGACCCTATTGGATCTCAATGCCATAATAGCAGCTTTACTGTCCGAGCATATGGTGACTGGTCCACGTCCTTCTGCCGAAATTTTCTTGGACACACGTCAGAATTGCAAACACTTCGCCCTGGAACACTGAAGCGTATTTGCCAAGAGGTACTGAGATTCCTTTCCCTGGTCCTCCTTCATATACTCCTGCACCAGACCCGCCACCAAACCTTGAGCCATCCGTGAAAAGTTCTTTCTATTTTTTGATTTTCGATCAAGACTTCTATCAAATGTTTTTCTATCATTTGTCTTCCGCCACCCAATCTATATATGTCAGAACTAATAATATGGTTTGTGGTAGTTCTGGAAACAATTTTTGTTTTTGCCCAAGCATAATGCAACCTCACAAATACTACACGACCAATCAGTACGAACGGGAATCGCTTTAGTACTACATCGATCACTGGTTGATGATGTCAACCTTACATCAACTGATACCTTGCATTTTTTTATTGGTAGATCTTCTACATCTCCTCCACGCTTGGATTTCACTTCTACGAGTCTCTCTGCTAACAGAACGTCACATGCTATCCTCCGAAAATTCTACAATTTCAATTCTGGTACCTCTTTCTTCAATTCATAATAATAATAATAATAATAATAAAGTGCTATATAACCATCTTTTAAATAATATTTATTTCATTACATCCTCTCTTCGGTTTTCTTCACCTGTGGATGTATCATAATATGAAGAAGACTTGTTTTTAGAAGAACGAAACGCCAAATACTAATTCGAAAACAGCAACTTTGTCTATTGATTATTGTTCTATTCATCTTATTTTCCATACGTACACTTGGAGGTCAATATCGAAAAACTGTCAAGTTTTTGAGGTTAGGTCAATTGGATTCTTTCATCAGTTCATTCCTATCAACAACATACCAGAAATTCAGCCATTTTCAGAGATTTTTTCACTTGAAAAATTTCTATTTGGAGGTCAATATCGAGAAAACTGTCAATTTTTGGAGGTTAGGTCAATTGGATTTTTTCATCAGTTCATTCCTATCTACAACATGCCAAAAATGCAACCATTTTCAGATACTTATTTTTTCTCAAAAAAATGACATTTGGAGGTCTATATCGAAAAACTGTCTATTTTTTGAGGTTCGTTCAATGGAATATCTGTTCAGTATATCAAAGTCTGCAAAATACCAAAAATTCAGCGATTTTCATCGAGAGCCATTTTTCCTATATTTTAGTGCGGGGTCCTTTATTGTTGAATTCAAACAATTTTGAATGGAAAAGCGCGGGACGACTATGGTTCTATTGTCACAATGCAAGGTGTGTAACTTACTGATACCATCCAGTGACTCTAGGTATAGGTGGTCTATTTTGTCGACCAATATGCATCAATTGTTTGAATTTAAGTGGTCCAAATCATGGACCCGTATGCTTTTTTTATGTTCTGGTTCCCACGAAAAGGGATATCCTGTAATGTTCAGAGAACATCATGAGAACCAAGGGAAATGAGGTGGGAATTGGTGTTGTTTTTAAATTTCTGGAGGTTATATGCCTCGGGGAACACCTCTCTTGGCAATGTGTTCCAGAGCCTCGCTGTTCGTTGGATGAACGAGTCTTTGGAAAGAGATGTTCTGCAGGTCTCCAAAGTGACCATGAAGTGGTGCGAAGCCTCAACTCGACGGGTTAATCTTGCGGGGACTGCCAAGGGAGGTACAATTGTTGATATTTCAGAAGAACATCGTCCATGAAAATATCTATAAAATAGAGCCAGATCGCCAACTTTTCTACGGTGTTCCAGAGAAGTGAGTGAGTTTGTGAGTGAGGCATCACCCAAGAGACGAATTGCTCTTTTTTGGACAGAATCCAACAGTTTCAGGGTATGTTTGGGTGCCGCACTCCAATTATAGATCATAAGCAGCTGACTGGAAGTGAAATAGCTCCTGGCCCGAAACAGAAAACCAAGTTTTTGGGATGCACTTTTAGCAATTGATCTCACGTGATTTTCCCAAGAAAGGTTATTGCTGATAGTTATACCAAGCATCGAAATGGATGTCTTCAAAGGTATGGTTACTCCTGACATGCTTATGTTTGGCACAGTGAGATCGGCTTTTCTAGAGAATTCGAGAATTGTAGCCAGGTCCATATTTATGTTGTCAACATTTCTTCCTCGTTCGTTTCTGATTTGCCTGGCTGGTATTGGAGCCCTGTAACAGAAGGCGGTATGGAGGGTTCTCTATCATCCGCGAAGCTGTGTACTGGACATGAAGTTGCTTCCAACAAATCGTTGATATGGAGTAGAAAAAGTGTTGGTGCTAGAATTGATCCTTGCGGAACACCAGCATTTATGGTAAGAGAGTCAGATGAAACTCCGTCGACCACTACATGGAGAGACCTGTTTGAGAGAAAACTAGCTAGCAGAGAACATAGTTGGGGATATCAAGTGCCACGGCAAAGGTTTCACGATATTTTTCAATAGATTGCTGCAAAGAGTTAAAGGAAAAGCTCATATCCAATAAACCTACCAGAACCTCAACCTGCCTATCCGCCTCCTGTACCACCTCCGAAACCACCGAATTCGCATACGGCGGCGGCTGGTCGTCCATGATGTCCTGATAGGACGGCGGCGGCGTTAGCTTCACGCCTGCGCCGAACGCCGCCTCGTGGTCCCGGAAGAGAGAAAAGTCCGGGTCGTTGGCTCTGTCCGACTCCGGGACGATGTAGTGGAGGGTGTTGCGCGAGGACTGTTGCCGGAGAGTGAGGTACTTGTAGCAGCGCCACACCACGCTTATCCAATAAGCCTGAAAGCAGAGACGTCTCTTTCACTGACATGACTACTATCTTTTTTCTGTATCCTAGTGGTCCAATAACTTTTTCTACAAACGCTTTACAAAGTAGCCTTTGACGCTTTCTTATTCCAACACAAAATTGACGTTTTCTCAGAAATGTCATTTTTCTGACAGCATTTGCACTCATGAGCGGAAATATTGAAAAAACGCTCGCACATCGCTGTAACCTATAATACTAATCTATTCTTGACAACCCCCAATTCCTTCATGATGGAAAATAGTGACAGTGAACTATCAAACACACCTCCTGATATAGCAGAAATTGCAAAAGTTTGAATCTCTTTATGACCGGATGAATCACGGTAGAAATATGAGTTACAATATGATACATTCATAAGTTGGTGCCACTCCAAGAAGGTGTATATGTAATCAGGAAACGTTTGACTGGCTTATTTTGGTGAAAAATCGAAAACTTTGAAGTCATCAACTCTGGTCTATATCTTCGATGATACGTATACATGCTTTTATGTTAAAAATAATATCTAAATCAATTAGTATTCGAAAGTTATCGCATTTCTCAAGAAACAATCTATTGGATATGAAGCGAAAAAATCCAAAACATTCACCGCTGAAGATACCCACAAATTTCTACAAGTAGCTCCCAGTGAAGAATATCTGTGAAAGGTAAATTATACTTTATATTTAAACTGTTTGTTATCATCAGAAAAACAGTGTATCTTTATTTTATTGCATTAATGAGTTATGTTCAATTTGATTGCAGAGCTTATTGTACTTTAGCTCAGAGATTTGAAGCGCAGGTTGCCACGCTGGTGGTCCGGGTTCAATTCTTCGTTAGCACGACATTTTTTTCTTCAGACTTGTCAGTTATTCTAATTTTTTTGTTCTCGTTAGACATATCGAATAATGGATAAGACCTATGTCAATCACTCCTATGTCAATCACTGTTACTTTCAGGGCAGGTATTTCCAAAAGCTGCGTTTGTAGCAAAAATCTTGTGTGTATTTCGAGCACAAAGTGTAATTGCCGCTCTCCAAAGATTACCGCGCTCCGCTCCGCATCGCGCGTAACTTTCTTTGTCGAGCGGCAATCGATCACTTTGCGCTCTAAATACACAAATAGCTATTGTCGCCTGAACATATGGGGGTAGTATGCGTCAAATCCGGTAGATTTGATTTTTTGCAGACTTGTTCATGATGTTGGCCTAATGAATGATCCAAGTTTGTAACCTCGAGCACCGAACGCAACTTCAAAAATCGAAAAAACCGCGAAAAAATCGTAATTTTTTCAAATTTTGGCGATTATAACCCTAAAAGACTAGTTTTTGAAGAAAAAATCTCTCAGGAAGTTTTTAAAGCAGATCAAATTTGCTACAATATGATATTTTCATCATACAAGGTGTTATAGATAATAATACAAAATCATTCTCCGAGGCCCCCCTTCGAGGGGCTGTATCTCGTAATTATTTCACTCACTCTATATACTCCCAAAGTTTGACCACCTATTTTAGAATCACCTTGTACATATATATCCATTTTTTGTGTTCATAAATATATCTGAGAATGTTCCTTTTCAAGACTTTCACCCAATCAAGGGGTTCAAACTTGAACGATGGAAACTTGTTATTTTTATAGACCTCAATCGCAGGTTCGTGATTAGGTTTTTCTCAATTCAGAATTTCTTTCCACGTCCTGTATGATGAATGTCGATTTATCATACATCCAAAAAACCAATGCAGTTCTAAAAATGACACTGATCTGAAAATTTGTATACAGGGATTATCGATTGGGTCCTGATCAATGAAAATACTCCCAAGATTGCTGCACTTCCGGATACTTATAATGGAATGAACATCAACTTCGGTATTTTGAATAGAAAGCTATATTTTTTATTGCATTTCCAGGTTCCTTATTTATTTTGAGATGATCTTTCCTTCACAATACTCAAGTCTAGCCGTTTTCGAGATATACAGACATTTCTGAATCTTTTTTTGTTTCAACCTTTTTCTTTTAGACTCTGACATTTTCGAGCGTCAGTAACAGGAAGAATTAATTTTTCTTAAATATTTCCATGATTCGAGAAAACGTTTATAAATCTGTCAAATCTGAAGAAACATTTGGGAAAGTTCAAGTAGCCATTTTGTTCAAATGGAATGCCAATTTTTAGCGTGAAAGACAGAGCTAATAAAGCATTGACATACCCTGTCAATGTGTGTCATTGCAGTTTCCAGAGTAGTTGCCTTTAGAAACAACTCTCTGCAGAGCATTTTGTGATCAGACCAAAAGAACATGAAGATTTTCACCTACCTTCCAAATCATAGACAACACGAATGCAATCAAAACGACCAAGGTCAGTACGTCAGGACTGAGCTGTAGAAGTTCGTGACGTAATGGCAAGTTCCAGTGTTCTGCAATGAGACGATGGGCCGATCTGAGATAGCAAAAATATCCTGTTGCAGTGAGCCTAAAACAAAATGATGTCTTTTTAGATCTGAAAATAATTTATTCTCTAAGATACCATGTATGGGCTGACTGACAAAAAACGCCCCAAGCCATAGCGCCGCTATTGTCAGATTTGAAAAACAAAAAAAGCAAATAAAATCAGTAGGCCCTGATCATTATTTTCCAACAGTGGAAACACAAGAGCTTTCTTTTATCGGATAAATTTCTCTTGGTAAGGAAAAACATTTGCCGATCAGTAATTTTACGAGAAAAACTGACATGAAAAAATTCTGTCTAATGTCAGTTTTCCGAGAAAAAATGTTTGAGTTAGTAAGGAAATTTATCCAATTAAAAAAAGTTCCGAGTGTTTTTTGGCAAGATAAATCAACGACAATATACAAATAAACAACAATAATGATTACCTTTATTGATGATTCCGTGTAACTGGTAGTTTGCGGAATTGATTTTCTCATATTTTCGTGGTTTCTTCAGACGAAATTTTCCTAAAACGGCTCATCTTGCTAATTTACGCGTGAACCATACCCATCAATCAAACTTGACACGACAGAAATTGGAGGGACATCAGGCGCAAATAGCTACTAGATCAAAGGAGCAGGCAGTTTATCAGCGACTATTCCACTCTTGATCTCGAGAACCAATCAGAATCGACCATTTTCATGGTTTCTTCTGTATTCTAGCGATATTTTTTGTTTATTAAATTTTATCGACTTGCTCTACCAATACAGAAGCCGAATTGACCCACACGTGACCAACTAACCTCGTTTATCAGCGATAAAATTTTGACATCGTGTCTGGTCAAGATTGCTTTGGATTCAAATCTGAGACAATAAAATAAGTTCCTACTTTATTTTATTCACTTATAATTCGCGTTAGTGAGATATTTTGTACGAAAGGCGAGACAATTTTATTCTGGCTGGACGTTTCATGTGTAATTTAAAAAGTTTGCATATTTGTTGACAGTCTGACACAACAATAATAGAATTCAAATTCCTTTTTGAAGTAATCTTCTTCAATTACTCAAGTTATTGTGACTGACTGATATAATTACTAGCTGATGTGGCGCAACTGTTAGGGTTGTTGCGCGAGGATACGAAGGTCGATGGTTCGAGCCCTCGGCGACGAAATTTTTTTTTTTTTAATTATTCCATGTCACATAAATTCAATTTATTTTGTTAGAATTGGATAGTAATTGTATACACTCTTTTGAGAGCAACCATCTCCAAGATAATAAAAAAAATACTGTTTATCAAAATTGTACATTCCACTTTGTGAATAACTATAAGTAGATAGTTAATTTCTAAAAAAGGAAATTCTGTATTTCATTACTATCATTATGTTCTTCTTCGCAGTTCGAGTTGGAATATACTTAAATTATGTTCTACTATTTCTTATATATATTGTCTCATTCAATCATGAAATAGTCATACGAATACAACTCGTGATACTGTTTTTCCTGGAAATATTCGTCGATTGACATACTCCAGCTTGCTGCTCTAATTTCGCTCATGACATTGATCCAAAACTACTCGCCTACGGCTCGTAGTTTTGATAACAATGTCATTCACGAAATTACTAGGCAACAAGCTGTCGTAACAATCACCGAATATTTCCGGCAAAATATTATCACTTGTGATATTATATATATGATAAAAAAGGTGCATCCTTTTTTATCAATGTCAAAATAACTCACGTCGTCGTCAAATAGCGTTTTCCGTGTAGAAGTTGATTTATCAAATTAAAATTTCAACTGCAACATCAGCGACTGTAACTTTTCTTTTCAAATGGAACTGTGTTTTATTTGTTTACTGTTCGATATTTTTTTTAATACAATGATGTATGACAAAATTACTTTTGGACAAAATTAGTTAGAATAAAAAATAAATGGTCAATTGACAAGAAATACAGACATTCTCGTAACATTTTGAGTTGTATTATCTGTTGCAGTAAATAGGGACTTTCTTTTATTCACCGGTGGCTCCATCAATCCACCAACTGTGTTCGTATATTCTTTGGAGGATTCCAGTTTGACGTAACCACGCTTTCATTCATTACTGTTGTGTCAATCAAAATTGCAAACTATTCCACCGATGCACAGAGAAAACATGTTCTTTTTTACACCACATTTTCATCATTGTTGGAAGTGACGTCACTCTCTGATGCATCGAATTGTTGGAGTCATCAGTGTTGAAAAAAAACGCAGTTATTTGACAGGACAATCACAACTGTTTCTTCCTTTTATTATTTTTCCTTTCGTGATTTGATGGGGATTCAGATTGTTTTCAATTAGAACCTCAGAATTGGCGAAAACTAATGGAAAATGGAAAATAATGTATTAAAACTGTTATTGGAGTCCTTATTGTCTCCAGATCTAGAAGTTCTAACAGTTTTTCTGATATTGTTTATGTTGGGGATTAAATTATGATGATTTGAATAGTCATAAATAAGAATTCTCTGTTGGTACCCAAGTTTCCTGTGCAGGAGATCCATATCTCCACCCTAAGAGTGAAGAACGCCGAAAATAGGCTGAGATGGAATAGAAAGTTCACCCTCACTATTCCAAGCAGGGAACAATGGGAAGAGAACAGAGTGGAATTCCGCCCGGGGAGTCTAGTATGTTATACGGACTGATCTCGCCAAACTGACAAACAGGACTCAGGTGCAGGAATTTACCTAGAAGGATTAGGCATAAGGGAGAGCTACGCTCTTGGAAAGTATACCACAGTTTTCCAGGCCAAGTTCTTTGCCATTCTGGCAGTAGCGGAGAGGCAAGAGGTGAAAGAGGGACCAGAGCAGAAGACTTACATCTGCTCGGATAGTCAGGCGGCTCTCAGGGCTGTCTGCCATCCTAAACCAAGCTCAGCTTTGGTGCAGGAATGTGGCGATGCTCTTGAGAAACTAGCTGAACAGAAGGAAGTCGAACTAGTATGGGTTCCGGGGCACAGGGGGGTGCCCGGGAACGAGGTGGCCGACGAGCTGGCTAGAATCGGATCCGCGACACCGTTCTGGGGACCGGAGCCTGCACTGGACATAACAAGAAGCCAAACTTCGTCTGCCCTTAACAAATGGGCGGACGAGGCACTAGAAGTATATTGGAGGCGTATAGGCGGCTGCAGGCAATCGAGAGACCTGGTGGCCGGTCAAGCCAAGGACGGCTTGGTTACTGGGCAGGGACGCCAAGTCCTGCGCCTTCTTATAGGGATACTAACAGGGCACAACAGGTTACGCAGACACCTATCACTCATAGGTGTGGAAGATAGTCCCACTTGCCCTGAATGCGGAGAAGACGAGGAGACATCACTTCACTTCCTCGGAGAGTGTGAGGCGTATGGAAGGATGAGATTCAAAATCTTTGGAGTAGATAAACTACAACAGGAAGATTTGGTAGAATTAGAGTGGACGGACATCCTGACCTTCATCAGAAGGACGGGAAGGTTCGAAAAGGACAACTAAAAGAGGGATGTGTAGATATGTGGAGAGCAGGGGTTGGCAAAAAGGGCCCATGGGGGCCTACTTGCCTGGCTACAGCCTCCCCACAATACTACTACTACTTCCTGAATGTTTGCACTAATTTTTTGAAGTTCATGATGGGAAAGAAACAAAGTACCTACCTCTCGATATTTCCTCAATTTCTGTTAGTCAATAATGCAGCTATTTTTTCATATCCATATTCTAGGCTGATTTCGATTAATTCATCTATATTTTTTCTCAGGTGAATAGCAAACAGCTTTTAAATCCAATATTTAGTTTTTAGTTTTTTGAGGTTATGCTGTCGTCGACATTTCGAAAACAACTAAAATTCGTCCACCATCTCTGTACATCGGTGGAATGGTTTGCAATTTTAGTTGACAAAACAGTAATAAATGAACGCGTGGTTACGTCAAACTGGAATCCAACAAAGAATATATGAACGCAGTTGGTGGATTGATGGAGCCACCGATGAATAAAAAAACGGTCCCTAGATGGTGGACGAATTTTGGTGGCTTCCGAAATGACAGCGACAGCATCTGTGGCATAACCTCAAAAAACTGAAAACGAAATGTTGGATTCGAAAGCTGTTTGAGTAGTTAACTAAGACAGCCTCACCATAAGTATGTATAATATACAGGGTGTTTCAGTTTTTTGTAGCAGGACTTTAACAGCTTGAAGAATACATTTTTTCAAGATGAAAATCTCAAACAAACATATATGCGTGGGAGCTTCGTTTCCGATTTACAGGGTGTCAAAGTTTCAGATTTTTTTTCATGTTTTCTCAATTTTCTCCTACAATTTTCGAAATAATTGATTGAGATTTGGTACACCTAATACACTTCAAAAACTCAAAATTTGAGGCTATTGAGCGTTTTTGAATACCTACAGGGTGATAGACTCTCAGGGGTCGTACCCAATTTAACCCTGTAGAACTTTTTTGCGTGCCGCCTTTGCTTTCAATGGGACATAGATTCAGATTGTCTCTGCAATTTGGAAACTTTTTGCCCCCATGTATGTTTTTCGAAAACTGTATGGATTTCGAGATAAATAAAAGTGGAATCCGAACCACTTCTAAGGGTACTGATAAAATTAGAACTGCCGTTCACGAGATTGAATTATTAAAACTCACAACACCTCAACCGTCAGAAGCGACAGTCTAGCGATGTATAGCACCTAGACCGTGTGTCATACAGTCGCTGATATCGAAAGTTTAACCAGTTTCAGTTATACAGGGTGTTCTAGAATTTTCTACAATACAATTTCAGATTTTGCAATCCAGTTAGAGAAGTTTTTTTAAAATAAAAACATTTTTTCTTTGTTTTTCCTAGTTTTAATTATAATGGTGTTCAAAAAATTCAATCTAATTTTGCAACTGAATTTCATTTGGTATGGAAGCTTTCGGTCATTCTATTTTCCAATGAAATGTTTGAGAAATGTCAAATAAGTGTGTTTGAGAAATAACGGTTTTATTACAAGTAATTTATTTTTGGCATTTATCTCTCGAGATCCATACAGATTTTTGAAAAATCTACATAGGAGCAAAAAGTTTCCCAATTGAAAGGACAATCTGAATCTATGTCCCATTGAAAGCAGAGACGGCACGCAAAGAAGTTCTACAGGGTTAAATTGGGTACGACCCCTGAAAGTCTATCACCCTATATTGAGTTTTTGAAGTATATCAGGTGTACCAAATTTCAATCAATTATTCCGAAAATTGTAGGAGAAAATTCGAAAAACATAAAAAAAATCTGAAACTTTGACACCCTGTAAATCGGAAACGAAGCTTCCACGCATATATGTTTGTATGAGATTTTCATCTTAAAAAAAATGTCTTCTTCAAGCTGTTAAAGTCCTGCTACAAAAAACTGAAACACCCTGTATATACACACTTTACTCTTAACTGAACGCGGCCTGTGTTCTGGCGGAGGAGCGGAGTAGCAGGGGCGCAGTAACGTGATGAAGTAACATAATCATCGACAGGGTGTTTGATGAAAATTGAAAAAAATATATATACAGGGTGTCCCACGGTTCGCGATCCCATGTTTTAGTGGGGAAGCGGGGGTGCGATGGAGTGACACCATCATCATCATCATCGACAGGGTGTTTGAGTTGAATGAAAATTGAGAAAAAATATTTACAGGGTGTCCCACGGTTAGACCACCCCACTTTAGGGCTTCAGGTTGGGGAGTGTGCGGGTACTCTAAGAGAAGGATTTTTCGCGAACATTCCAAAAATGACATTGATGAAGATTGAAAACAGAAAATATATACAGGACGGCCCATGGTTAGACCACCCCACTTATGTGTTGAACATGAATTAGACAGCTGACGCATGACAATCGACATATTATGACGTTTGACAGATGGCCATCGACAGATAACAACGATCGATGACACGTGACCAGGCTACGCCTGCAAGCCAGCTACCAGCTTGATGCTGCATCTATTCAATATACAGTGTGTTTGACTTATAAATAAAAATACATACAGGGAAATTCGCTGCAAGAACTGATCAATTCAGGTAAACCAGGTAGCCGTGCGGACAGAGTGTCTATATTCTAATCCGGATTCGCTTGCCGGTCGTGGGTTCGATTCCTATCGACTGCAGAGATTTTTCTGATGGCCCAAGAATGTGTTTGAGATCACAAGTTAAAAGGTAAGGCCCCCGTCATTCCATGCTCGCATAAGACTCTCGAAGACTTCTGAGAGTTGCTCGTAAGGGGGCAACCGAATGACGGATAGAACAATTTTAGAACAATTTTTTAGAACCCAGCAAACATATTGAACAGGCAAGGTATGACAGATGACGCGCTGACTGATGATTTAGATCAATATACAGGGCGACAATGAGAAAATATACAGGGAATCTCGCTGCAAGAACTACCTACTTTAGACATACCTAGCATATATTAGACAAATATGTCAAATAACTCGTAAAACAGCTCTGTGCTTCACTGAAGGAAGTATCCTGGCTAGTCCGTCAAACAAGTCTTCAACAATACTCAGTCAGTGCGTCATCTGTCATACCTTGCCTGTTCAATATGTTTGCTTGGTTCACCTGAATTGATCAGTTCTTACAGCGAATTTCCCTGTATGTATTTTTTTATAAGTCAAACACACTGTATATTGAATGGATGCAGCAGCAAGCTGGTAGCTGGCGTGCAGGCATAGCCTGGTCACGTGTCATCTATCGTTGTTATCTGTCGATGGCCATCTGTCAAATGTCATATGTCGAATGTAATATGTCGATTGTTATCCGTCTGCTGTCTAATTCATGTTCAACACATAAGTGGGGTGGTCTAACCGTGGGACACCCTGTAAATATTTTTTCTCAATTTTCGATGATGATGATGATGGTGTCACTCCATCGCACCCCCGCTTCCCCACTGAAACATGGGATCGCGAACCGTGGGACACCCTGTATATATATTTTTTTCAATTTTCATTAAACTCAAACACCCTGTCAATGATTATGTCACTCCATCACGTTACTGCGCCCCTGCTACCCCGCTCCTCCGCCAGAACACAGGCCGCGTTCCAGTTAAGAGTAAAGCGTGTATTTCCCTATACTCATGGTGAGGCTGTCTTAGTTTAACTACTTGTTTGCATTTTTGCCTAAGAAAAAATATGGATGAATTAACAGAAAATCAGTCTAGAATATGAAAGTAAAAGAATAGCTGCATTATTGGCCAACAGAAATTGAATACATTTTGAGGGGTAGGTACTTTTTTCTCTCTTATCGTGAGTTTCAGAAAATTAGTGCAAACATTCAGGAAACTTGAGTACCAAAAGAGAATTTTCATCAATGACTCTATCCATATCATCTTAATTTAATGCAATTTTTTGTATATAGGTAGTTGAGAATTTTCAACCTATCTCACCAACTCCCCAACATAAACAATATTTCATCCTCGGAACTATCAGAAGAACTGCTGTGTCACAAGACCCTCCTTTCCATTAAATTTTTTTATCCCAGCTGGCGCCTAGCCGCTAACTTGAAATTTTCATCTGTCAATTCTACTCCAAAATATGGTATTCATGCACCAATTTCATCACCCCAAGTTTCAATTTTTTCTGTTGACCCGTTCAAAAAATAAAAGATGGGGCATTAAAGAAAAGCACTGTATATCACACGCCTGCAAAAAGTCAAAGATTCCCTTCTTAACAAGTCTTTCGATGATTTTGGCGAACGTGGAAATGAGAGAAATCGGCTTGAAATTCATGGAAGAGTTCACTTCATCACCTTTAAAAAATCGGTATAACAATTGATGTTTCAAGAAAAGGTGGAAATATGCCTTCTCTGAAGGATTCATTTATCAGAGATACTAGTTGGTTCAGGGCATTATGTGGAAGATTTTCCGGGGCAGGTAGGGGAGGTGTTCCCAAACGGAAATGACGTTCCTCAAGGATCGGTGCTTGGTCCAATCTTGTTTTTGTTGTACTTCAATGACCTGACAAGCATAACATCTGATTGACTATTCACAGTCTTCGCAGATGATACAACAATCTTATGACATGATAACAACATAGAAAGCTTACACTCGAAAATAACCCGAGATATAGGAAAAATTAAAAGATGGTGTGATGCTAACCTACTCTCTTTCAACATTACCCCAAGACAAACTTTATATCATACCATTGTGCCCTACCCGATATTCCTTTAGGTAATGAATTGATAGTCAATGTGAGTATGAACAAATTTCTTGGAGTCTACATTGATGATAAACTGAAATGTCATCAACACGTGAAACAACTGGGAAATAGGCTTGCATCAGGATGTTATGCTCTGCGTGTAGTGGCCAATGAATTGGGTAAAGCGACAGCTAAGGTTGTTTACCATGCACTAATTGAATCACATATCAGATATGGAATAGCCTTCTGGAGTTCATGTAATCAAGAAAACTTCCATTCAATATTTGTCTTACAAAAACGAGCCATTCGATATTTATGTAATGTAGGACCAAGAGTGTCATGTAGGACACTTTTCAAACAAAATAATTTACTGACGGTTCCATCTTTGTTTATACTTGAGACAGTTTGCTTGATTTTTAAGAATAAAGCCTTATATAAAGTCAATGAGGGGATTACTCGCCAAAATGGTAATTTGAAACTTCCCATTCCCTTTACCAACAAGATCAAGAACTCACTAATATATAATGAAGTAAAAATTTTCAATCATATTCCATGGAGCATTAGGAACATTGAAGGGTATAAACGATTTAGATCATCTGTGAAGAATATACTCCTAGAACTAATTCCTTATGATATTCAGGAGTTTTTTCAGGCCACTCTTCAATAATTCAACTAAATATCGAAAATCCATAGGCTAGTCTAGATACTAGATATTCTATTTTTGTCTATGATACCTAATCAGGATCTCATATTATTTTTATTATTTTCATAATTTTTATGTTCACATTTTTAATAAGTTTTAATGTGTTGTTTGTGCATATATACAACCAATAACTTGTATATTAATATGATTGTATGTTTCTTTTAATTTTATTGTGACTGTGTTTATTTCCTGTAGTCTCTGTACGCATATACATATTCAATGCATGAGTGATTATACATTCTTGATGTAAATTTATATATTTCTTCACTTTGTCAATGAGAATTTCATTCTTCCGACAATAAAGTATAATTTGATTGATTGATTGAAACACAATGAAATGGGATTATCATCGTTATGACGGGTAATGGGAATGAAATATCCCAATAGTATCTGATGAGTAATTTCATCTGCTTTTCTGTTATTCAAAATCAGATTACTGATATAACGGCGGTATGGCTCGAGGAGTTTATTTGTGAGTCAGCCTGTATTGTATATAAACTTTCAAAATATACTTACGTCGTTATGGCGAAATCGAATAATTCAAGAAAGAAGAAAGGTAGCAGATGTGTAGCTTTTCCTTTGATTGTCCCGTACACCATCAAGAGGGTAATAGATAAAGTGCAGACAGTCATCAATGCTCCCATATCAATATCGGCTGTGAAATAACAAGTGCTCAGATTATATACCGGGTGGCGATTTTCCTAAATATACTGCACGCTAGCACAAACCACGCCCACCATAATACGTCATATCTCATACTGTGCTCCAACGCAAGAACTGAAGCTTTCTCGTTGTCAATCTCTTGTACGCAGTAAATTCATACACCCAAATGGTCTACTGGTTAGCGCTGTCGACTCTCAGTCTGAAGGTTCATGGTTCGAATCGCTGTGAACTCGAACTTTTTTTGCAACTTTTTTTTTTCACCAATGTTTTTTTACTTCATTCTGGTTTTCCTTTTTCATAAAATATTTGAAGTCAAATAGGTTGGTGCGTTTAGGATAAACAGTCTCATTTTATTCAATTTTGTTGAAGAACTCAACTTTTGAAATATATTATTAATCAATGTGTTTCTACACTCCATTCGGTTTTCCTTCCTCAAAAATATTGCAATCAGGGATAGGTTAGTTCGTTGAGGATAAATAGTCTCTGAGTTTTGCCTAAGTAAAGTACTTTGAAGATGAGATATAACGTGGTATGTGCTACTTTTTCAATCGATTTATTTATATGAATCAGCTACGTTGTGCTGTCAAAGATTAGATTTTGCAGGATTGTGCTGGGCTCGATTATATTTTGCAATGCCGTAGTAGGGGGCGTGTCTTGTGCTGCAATAGTTTATATTTAGTAAAATCGCTACCGGGTGACAAAGAAAAAATTAGTCAGGGCGTACTTCACTTGTTTTTTATGTTAGACTTTCTCTGCTTTCTCCTTTCTCTTTGACATTTGGATCGAGATAAACCTAGATCAAGAATGTTGAATGGAACCATGTAAATATTTTCACACCATTTAATAGAGCAACAAATCCCCTTTTGACATCACAAGCATTTGTTTTCAAATTGACGACGCAGCAGATATTTTTTCTAAAATTAATATGGCGTAACTGTGACGTCATCGATCGAATTTAAGTCGAGCAATCTAATAATAAAATAGCACTTTGATAGTTTTTGATGATTGTTGTTTCGTTCGCCAATCAGAAATCCTTTTAGTGATCATTGGAGGTTGTTTTTTTACAAGCTTTTATTTAGTCCCACTTGTCCTGGTGTCTGTGTGTAATCAAATCTTGCACAGTGTCGCCATATTCAGAAGAAATATCTTCTGCGCCGGAATTTTTGTAAGAAATGTCGATATTTCATTGAAAATTGGATTTTTTGCTCTATCAAATGGCGAGAAATCATCTACCAAATGTGTCGTTCAATTGTTTTTTAATGGAAACAAGGCAATTCAATTTATTGATAGCAAATAATTATAAGTCAAATTTTGGTAAACAATCAATATTCTATAATGGAATAATTTTGTATAACTCCTTACCTAATGAGTTGAAAAATATAGAAGCAGAAAAATTTAAAATGAAATCAAAGAAATATCTGCTCAGTAAACTTTAATTCCATATCTACTAATAGTACTTATCATTCACAATTTGATTACTTGTAATGGATTTTAACAGATTGACTCTAGCATGGGTACCAGCACATACAGGGTACGAGGGCAATGAAGAGGCAGACTCACTTGCCCGAGCAGGAGCAAACAAAGCTCTTAATGGCCCAGAACCCTTCTGTGATATTGCGAAAGCTATACAAAAGACTAGTATCAAATCATGGATGCAAACTAAATCTCAAGAATGGTGGAACAACTCGCCAGGAATGAGACAGGCTAAAGAGTTTATTAAAAAACCATCGCCAACATTCACAGAATATCTACTAAGCCAGAAACGAAGTTCAACTAGAATACTAGTGGGACTTCTCACAGGACATTGTAGGCTCAACAAACACATGAGTACGATAGGTCTGACTGAAGAACTGCTGTGCTGGTTCTGTCAAGAAGAGGAAGAAACAGCAGTACACATACTTTGCCACTGTGAGGGCTTGTCAAGACTAAGGTTCCTTACGCTGGGTGAGGAAAAACCAGGAGCCCAGAGATACACAGGAGATCTGAAAGCTAGCCTATGGAGTCTCATAGAGAAGGCGGGGCTAGCCGAAGAACTCTAATCGATTTTGAGGGCAGACACAATAGATCTGAAAAGGTCGCAGTGTCGAGGCAGATAGCCCGAAGGCCCCATTCCAAATCTAATCTAATGGATTTTAATATTTTCATTTTATAATTTTATTTTATTTTTTTTAGGAAAAGCAATAATTGTGCAATTATTATTGTTTCGATTTTTTATGTTTTATATGTATGTTTTGTTGTATATATCCCTATTATAAACAATAATATTTCTTGGGGTAAAAGACAATCAATCAAACAAATATGCGTTTTAACGAACAATACCTTCGATCCAAATGTCAAAAGTCTAACATAAAAAAAACAACTAAATGACGCCCTGGTCAACGATTTCGTTGTCACCCGGTATATATTCCGCAATAAGTATTGTAATGGCTTATATCCCAAACGAGCGAAAAGTTTGTAGGGTTCGTGAGTTTGGAATAAGCCAATCCGAACGTGTTGTAGATATTTGTGACCACCTCACACCCTAGAATTGAACTGAAATGAATCATACCTGAATAAAAGTTGTGGCCATTCTGCGTGGTAGGCAAATAATAAGGGTTATCATCATCCTTCTTGCTCAAAGGGGTTGGTAAGAAGTCATTCTGAATTTCCTCGTTCTTTTGTATGATGACGTGATTATTGCGCATGATCAATGCCAGTACTGTTAACGCCAGAATATGCAACATCTGGAAAAATAGTTGAGAATGCGGGGTACATATTATTTCGGAATGTGCTAGGTCCTGACAATTTTATGGGGATTTTATTGCTTTTTCTTAAACGTTATGAAGACAGAGAAAGACGATCGAAAAAAAAATATCGAGGCCAGTAATAAACTGAAGTTGTATAGCATCTCTAAAACTAAAGATATTTTTAACAATCCCAACTACATCGTCTTGGTAAATTACCCGTTTGTGCAAAATTCAAATTATTTCCGTGTGGGGACGTATCAGATTGTGAAGATTAGATGCGAAATTGAAAAAAAGTTTATATGATACTAGCTGGCCCGGCAAACGTTGTTTTGCCATAACATTATTTCTAGAAAAAATGTTTTTACATAAATATTTATCAAAGAACTTTCATTATTTTATTTATACTTCTTTTTAGTTCGGCTATCCATGAAAACGGGATTCTCTTCATTTTTTCATTTATTTACTACTCACTTCTTCTTAGTATTTCATTAGCTTTTCAAACTACTATTTATTACAATAGCTGATGCTGATACCTGGCACACGTTGTTTTGCTATATACATTTTCTTCTAGAAAATATTTTTTCAGTTAAATATTCATCAACACACTTTTATTATTTCGTTTTGAACTACTATTCTTATTTTCTACTTCTTCTTAGTTCGACAATCTATCTCGTTTTTTAAACTATACTATCAATTTTCTACTTCTATTCAGTTCGGCCTCGAGTTTGGCTATTTATAAAAGCGTGTTTCATTATAGTTTTTCAAACTACTATTTATTAAAAAGCTCTTTCACCATATTGGATCCGCCATCTTGAATTTCCCAATTTTAAAAGAATTAAATGATAATCTCCGACCCCGAAAACCGGCAGATACAGATTTTGAATAGAATCGAATCACAATTACAAAACTCGTCCGCCATATTGGATCCTCCATCTTTAATTTTGTAAATTTGATGAAAGAATCATAATCTCCGACCCAAAAATCACACAGATACAAATTTTGAATGGAATCTGATCATACTTACAAAACACGTCCGCCATATTGGATCCGCTATGTTGAATTTCCAAATTTTGACAAAAGAATCATTATCTCCGACCCCGAAAACCACCCGATACCAATTTTGAATAGAATCTGACCATAATTACAAAACTCGGCCGCCATATTGGATCCGCCATTTTGAATTTCCCCATTTTGACAAATGATTTATATCTCCGACCTCTAAAACCTCCAGATGCCAATTTTGAATAAATCTGACCATAATTACAAAACTCGTCCGCCATATTGGATCCGTCATTTTGAATTTCCAAATTTTGACGAACGAACCATAATCTCCGACCCCGAAAACCCTCAGATACCAATTTTGAATATAATTGAATCATAATCACAAAACTCGTCCGCCATATTGGATCCGCCATTTTAAATTTCCAAATTTTAATGAAAAATCATGATCTCTGACCTCAATTTTGAATGAAATTTGACCATAATTACAAAACTCGTTCGCCATATTGGATCCGCCATAATGAATCTCCTAATTTTGATGAATAAATCATAATTTCCGACCTCGAAAACCCCCAGATACCAAGTTTGAATGGAATATGACCATAATTACAAAACTCGTCCGCCATATTGGATTCGCCATCTTGAATTTCCTAAATTTGACGAAAGAATCATAATCCCCGAAACCGAAAACCCCCAAATACCAATTTTGAATGAAATCAGATAACAATACTCGTCCGCCATATTGGATCCGCCATCTTGAATTTTCGATTCAAAAAATAGATTATGACGGATTCTCATACCTACCGAATACGCACAAAAATTTCATACGAATCGGTCGAGCCGTTTCGGAGGAGTTCGACCACTAACACCCTGACCGGGACGCATTTAAACATTCCGGTATAGGATTCGGCACCTCCTTAAATTCTATTGGCCGATTTTGATTCATCTGACCAATTGAAGGCGGAGTGCCGAAATTCGTACCAGAATGTTGAGCGGTGCTGAAACACAGGTCGGAATGTTGATGAAATGAAAGCTCGAGATAATGTGTAATGAACGCATTTTTCAATAACTTCAGAAATTTTCATTTATATTCATGATGATTATTTGGTATAAAAGTTTAAAATGACTGATTATATGTAATGAAATGAGATAATAAATTCGAAATAACATTCATTAGAACACTTAATGTATGTTAATGTCCTATTCCATGGGACTTAGCGTTTGGTTGATTTCTCTCCACGTTACCTGCCAAACTGCGTCTTCGTCTTCTTCGAATACATTTCATGAGCAAATAAAACAATATTTAGAAAACATAAAATTGTTACCTGTACAAGAATCTTTTAATATTTGTAGGGCCTGATTTGAAACGCCATGATGTAAACGACTGAGCTTCATAATCATTCATCCATTGCACAACTTCTGTTTCATTCTTCATATTGCCCCTATACAAATTTTCTGAAACTTTCATCAATCTTTCCATAATTAGTGATTTTTGATTTATGGTATACTTCACTAATTGATGATTGCACTTAACTATAATAACAAGAATGCCAGGTTTGTTGTTAGCATGTGGGAACAACGGTATAATCAAAAAATACGCAGGTTAGGTATATGCGAGGGTAAATGTAAACAAAAACCGCGCAAAATGCAGGGCAACATTCCGATCTGCTTTTCAGCACCGCTCAACATTCTGGTACGGATTTCGGCACTTCGCCTTTAATTGGTCAGACAAATCAAAATCCGCCAATAGAATTTACGCAGGTGCCGACCGGGACAGGAGAATTTTATACAGTGTGTCCCACTTATCATGCTCACCATGGGTATCTTTTTAACGGTGAGAGATACGAGGTCGGTTAAATGACACCAAATGTGTCAAGGCCAACTATAATGTGAAAAAATATTTTGATAGAATCTATTCGTTTTTGTTTTATACGCAAAAAACAGATTTTGATCATTTTCATGTCTCCTCCGTAACTTCTTTATTTATGAAAATGTTCAAATAGGAATTTCACATTCTCATGGCAGTTTTTCAAAGTGATTTACAAAAAAATATGAAATCTATACCAACTCTTCTAGAATTTGAGATATCAGCACCAACTTTAGTTTTTCAAATGTAGGTCATAGCTCACTATGACATAGTTACAAATAACTTTTTTTTCTCTCACAGATGATATGTCGCAGTAATAGTTTTGTGTTGATAACAACGGAGTTATCGTCATTTAAACAAAAACAAAAAATTATTTGGAAGCCGCCATCTTGAATTTATAAATTTTAACAAAAAATAATGATCTCCGACTTCAAAAACCCCCACTTACCAATTTTGAATGGAATCGGACCAAATCTTGTCCGCCATCTTGGAGCAGTCACCGAAATTATGAACACCTGCCAAATTTCAAGTTAATCTGAGTTATGGAATTTTTGTTGACATTAAAAAAATGGCTGCTCCAAGATGGCGGACAAGATTTGGTCCGATTCCATCCAAAATTGGTAAGTAGTGGTTTTTGAAGTCGGAGATCATGATTTTTTTGTTAAAATGTATAAATTCAAGATGGCGGCTTCCAAATATTTTTTTTGTTTTTGTATAAATGACGATAACTCCGTTGTTATCAACACAAAACTATTACTGCGACACATCAGTTGTGAGAGAAAAAAAAGTTATTTGTAACTATGTCATAGTGAGCTATGACCTACATTTGAAAAACTAAAGTTGGTGCTGATATCTCAAATTCTAGAAGAGTTGGTATGAATTTCATATTTTTTTCAAAATCACTTTGAAAAACTGCCATGAGAATGTGAAATTCCTATTTGAATATCTTCATAAATAAAGAAGTTACAGAGGAGACATGAAAATGATCAAAATCTGTTTTTTGCGTATAAAACAAAAACGAATAGATTTTATCAAAATATTTTTTCACATTATAGTTGGCCTTGACAAACTCCACATTTGGTGTCATTTAACCGACCTCGTATCTCTCACCGTTAAAAAGATACCCATGGTGAGCATGATAAGTGGGACACACTGTATATTAGATATGACCTTTCACTGGTGGGGAGAGCGTTTACAGGTGTTCAAAAATGTAAAAAAAAACAGTCACATGGAAATACTCGAGCGCATCAGATATTAATAGTGCGCTCCAAGCGATAAAAAAAAAAAAAAAAAAAAAAAAAAAAATGGCAATTGACAACAAGATAACCTGTAAAAAAATCCCACTGTAGAAGTCCATGATGAAAAAAATATTCAACAAATCTATACAGACCCAAAAATGTGTACCTGAATGACTCAGTAAATCAATCAAAAAAAGAAATTGATATTGCCTCATTTTTCCGAATTTTTCACTTGATCCCCCAATACTCATAATCATTATTATCTGATAATGATCAGAATTCTGGGAGCCACTTGGAAGTGGTGCCACTAGATGCTTGTGCATTTGGGATTGCATTCTCAATATTGAGTAACACTATATGATATGAAATATTTTTTCTACATTCATGCAAAAAGCGGAACTTTATTGAACTATATTTAGTGGAAAAAGAAGTTCTTTATTGCACCTAGTGCAATAAAGTTGTTATTGCACTCATCTGTCATTCTACTTCAATGTGCTGTCATCATGACAAACATTTTTTATATTGCAACTGTGGTTATAGAAACGTCAGTCAAAAATTAAGTTGCGTTTTTCATTTTCCTACACCTAGTGCCGCACCTCAATAAATCATTTTTTGCTTTTTGCATGAACGTAGAAAAAATGTTGTATGCAACTCATGCAAAAAAATTTTATTGCACTTGTTGCATAAATAACTATTAGCATTATTGAAAATGATCCCATCATGAATAAAATACTAAATCTTCTTTAAATGCTAGTCAGTGAAAAGGAGACCTTGATGTAACCACTAAATATTGTGGAATGATGTAAAATTGTGTCAAATGTACCTAGGTCAATGCAAAATCTTATTGAGGGGATAGGGGAGCTCATTCAGATTGCACCAAGCCAAACATACAGAAGATACTTCAGTATAAAGCACAAAGTACAAAGTCTTTGAATCATGTTTCCTCATATCTACATCATAATAACTGTAATAAAACATAACACCTTAATTTTTGTTTTCTAATAAAAATGAACAGGGGTCAAGGGAGTGTAATTAGGGATCATTGACATTAGATGAAAATAATAACAATTCACATTTTTGATCTACTATTACCTAGGTTTGTTAATCTGTGCCTTAGAAGGAAAAATGTTGTATAAGCTAGAGCTCTATTTGGTTCTTTGAGAAACACTGATAATTATCTTGAATTCACTCTTATAGTCATGAATATTAAAAACATTGTAATGTTTTTATTCAGGCTCATATTGGTTCAATATATTATACCACCCAATACTTGAAAAAAATTTCAAGATTTCATAGCAAACCTATGCTTGACTTATGCTGATAAAGTAGGTATCTATTAATACTTTGTTGACTCTAACTAGATCAGGGCACAAAATAGCAGTTACCATCCAATATAATATAGACTTACCAGATGCCATATTCCAAAGAGAATAGTGGCTGAACGCACATGCAAACAGAAGCAACATCTCCATTCTTTATTTTCCTCAGATCCAAATTTTAGGCGCATTGTGAACATGCTCCAATAGCTATAAAAAAATGGTACTAATTTAAATACACCTCAAAATATACTTGCAACTTCTATACTAGTGGACATTAGTAACTTTTTTTCAACAGTTTTACATACCTGTGTTGAGATAAATTGAAATTATTATAATATCATTCACAACTGTAAGTTGTAAGGCTTTTATATTTCACAATATTTAACAAAAGAAGACCTCCTGATTGACTTTGTATCAATTTCAATAAGAAACCTAATGTGACCCAGGTTTGACTTCAGATTTCCAAGACAGCAGTTTATCAGTTCACTAGGATTTCAATAATAATAATTAATACAGGACACAAGGTATCCTTCAAGTTTTGTTATTCCTTGATTATAGAATACAGTGAGGTTTTTGAAGGTATATCAACAATGTCAACATACCCTCTTGAGGAATGTCCAAACATTTCCAAATGTTTTGAAAACATTCAATATACATTCAATATACAAAATGTCTTTGTCTGTCAGTAATATTTATGATAAATATTATGTAGAATTGTGGATCGTATTTTCGTCTTTGATCAGTACCTACATTGATTGTGAATAATGATCTGACCTCTTTAAAAAGATGATTTCATTACCTTCTGAAAAATACCAGAACACAATATAGTACTTACCAAATTCGAGTGGCAAGGGGCAGTCCAATAAATTATTATCTATTTTCCTTTATCACAGCTGTAATCTGTAATGACTGCAATCTCGTCTGTAATTAATTAAACACTATTAAACACTGAACGCTAAAAAATAAACTATCCAGCAGTGTCCAGTCATTAGTCAATCCAGTGTTTTTGTTTTTCGAAGATTTGGCATTTGACGTTTTCTGACATCTACCTTGACAAAGCAATGTTGCCGCTTCAGTAATTTTTCCTCGAACCTAACTAGAAAAAATTTCGAAAGATTAACCACTTCGACATAAATATCTCTCGCAAGTAATTCAATTAGTAGCATGCTGCTGTGCTTTTATTAGGATAAACTAGAGTCCCTTGATGTAAATTGACGTTAAAGTCATCTTAACAGGGTACGGACAGATCCTCGTCTCCTCTCACTCTAAAGTGTTTGTGAAACAGTTATATAGTTTCATCCTTATTCAACTATGGAGATGAAGTTGTTTTTCAGGTTATATTGAGGTCATCGGCGTATCATACGTAATTTCCATATGGAATTCCTGATTCAACTATACCAAGATATAGTCGAACAATCCTCTAGTTTCAGAGTTTACTACTCCAGCATAATCTTTTCGAGGTAGGGAACATATAATTTGTACTAAAAGCTTACAGATACGAAAGATTCAAGAATTTATTATATGTATACAAATGCTTATGATTGGTCAATCCGTGCTCCGTGTGTATTCGTTTCGTACAATGCCACCGCTACCCCTATCGGCCATCGTCGATCGTTGTACAGTTTGTCGAAATTATGCGCATGCGTGATCAAGTTCATCGAATGTTGTATTGTAATATTTGTAATGGCGGATTCGTGATTTTGGGTCATGGAAAACAAGGATAGGTACAATGGAAAAGTGGGGTTCAGCAAAATATATTGCAGCTCGCTGGTTATTTTATCAATTCCAGGCAGTAGAAATGTTTGTGAGAATACAATATTCCGAGAAAAGGCATTGCTCTCGTTCAGTAGAAGTAGTTGACGCCATGACGCCTCGTAAGAGTCGTAAGGCTGCGAAGTGTAATGGCCGCCTTTCAAACAGCAAGACTTTTTCAACAGGTCAATAATCAAGAAACCGAAAATCTACAAATGAAACTTGGAAGTTGTTTGATGTAGTGAGGTCGTCATTATTGAAGGTGATCTATAAATACCTTAAATCATAGGTACAAAAATAATTTGAGGTTATTAGGTTGAGATTCCTTTGAAACTTGACATCTTCGTTTATGTCTATTTACTATGGAATATAGTGGATTTCACTCTTATAAGAATACCTATGTATAATTATGTAAACAAATCTGGACCTGATGCTTGGTAACTATTCGACGTGTAACCGACGTCGCTAAATGACGTTTTAACGACGTCGCTTAATGACGTCGTTTTGATGTGACATATTGACGTCACATTTACGTCTCTTTCACGTCGATAATTTGGTCATCTTGACGTAATTGGTGACGCGTATATGACGTGAAATTGACGTGTGAATGCTAGCTGGGGATATGGGTGTTCCGCAGGGATCTGTGTTGGGGCCGCTTTTATTTCTCTTATTCGTCAATGATTTGCCAGAACATATCCATGATCAGATAATAATGTATGCGGATGACTCCTCTGTAGTGGTCACGTCACATACTTCTGGGGGGCTTCATGAAAGGATATCATATGTAGTCGATACTTTTCATAAGTGGTGTAATGGAGATCATATAAAACTGCATTACTACATTTCAGATGCAAAAAAAGGTGAGCCCGCGGTGTGCATACCTGATATAGCATAGGCGTTTTCGGAAACTTACTCGGGTTGTTCGGATCCCTAACCTGAACGTTCGGTTACCCAAAGTTGATAATCCTTGACCCAAACCGAGTTACCTATACCTCTGTTCGGAAACTTGAATGATGCTAACTCGGATCACTGACTCGGGTTGATTTTTCGTGACCCTACTCAAAAGCAGGGTCGCCAGAGTTGCAAAGGACACCGCATGCGCATTACGGAATTTAAGTCAATCAAAAAACGCGGGAGTTTACCTTCGACGATAACAATAATAATAAAATAATTTGCATGTTGGGAGAAATCACGACCGGTGATATACATGTTCTTTTCAATCTTCATAATTTGATTAAAGTAATTCATTGAGAAGAGAATTTGGGTAGGGATGAAGTTTGTGGTTATGTGCAACAACACATATGAGACAAGTACACCAATCCACAGGTAAATATAAATATTCATTTTGTAATCAGATCAAATAATTACTTGAATATAATGTGACCGTTTTCGTCTGTCAAATTCATGAAACCACAGGAAAAATATAATATTCAGTGTTCCTAACCTGACACGTTCATAAACGTTGAACAGAAGTAGATGATCCGAGTTTTTTGTCACGTGACCTATCTGGATCGAGTTATCAACCCAGAGTAAGTTTCCGAAAACGCCTTATGCGAGGTTTGGGAATGGTTCGACAATTTTAGGCTCTCGTGAGGGGGATGTTTAAATAGCTTCGCGTGAAAGTAGTCCCTCATCATGATGCGATATATTCCTCCTCTGATAACCTTAAGATTTTCCGCAGCATGCTACTAATTCAATGACTGGCTAGACATTTTTTGTACTTCGACCCGCTTCTTAAAAAAAATCAGAAATATTAATTCAAATCATAAACGATTTATACAAATGGAAAATGCATATCACCAATACAGTATACAGGTTGACCCTTAAATTTGCAGTATTTAATAAAATTGATCATGGTTCCACTATCCACCACCAGGGCATTTCAATGGGAGCATCCCACGATGCCCAATTCCTACGATGCCCACATTCATGTCGACGATTACGAAGATTGCCGAAGAGCTCAACGTTGCCAGGTCAAGATGAAAATTCAGAAAACACAAGATTCCCACCATGCCCACTTTTCATAGATTCCCACGATGCCCAATTCCCACCTTCTTTGGAATCCCACCATGATGAAGGTGGGCATGGTGGGAATTGATGGGCATCGTGGGAATGCATAAAAAGTGGGCATGGTGGGAATTGGGCATCGTGGGAATGTATGAAAAGTGGGCCTTACAATAAGGCAACAAATTAACAACTAGAATGCTTTGAATATGTTTTATTTAGGTAACACTTTCATTTTCAACATAAAAACTCGAAACTTGCAGGCATAAACAAAATAAAATATACATCATCATCATAAAACAAAGGAATGTCAAAACAAATAAAATTTGAAAAAATCAATATGTAGGTACCCGAGTAGGTACCTATCTTCATTCTTTTACATTGGCATATAATCAATAAATTATCTAGATTGGAGGTGAATTTTATCATTTTATGTTTCTTGGACCAAAATAATATTTAATAGGGCATCTTAATTTACTACAATATACAATCAAATGTATATAAAGAAATATAAATTAGAAAAAATATCAAATTATTTTTCACCTACCTATATTATTTAGGTACCTTTTATTAGTTTTATTAGTTATTATATAATCAATACCTATTGAAATATTGATGTCAGTTAATGGTAAAATCCTTCATATTCAACATACAAATCATTCTTGAAATTAACTCATCAGTTTCACAACTGATATAGTAGAATAATCATCATCAGATAGATTACTTGAAAGAATTATAGAAAATATGTGCAATGATACAGAATGCAAATAATGAATTACCTGAATTAGAATTTGTTAAGGGCATTTATAGGGCAATTATAAACTGGATAGAATAAATGGAAAATCAGGAAAAGCTGTACACCAAACAGACAGTTTTCTATGTCCTCAGTTTCTTGATAAAATCTGCCAAACGGCAGTTTGCACATATCCAATTTTGTCTTACATTATAAACTTCAACAGATCTACGTGCATCATCTCCATACAGAACACCTAAAATGAATTGTTCAAATTGGTCAATATGATAGACACATAATTTGGATCAATGAGTTTTTTCTTATTTTGCAGATTAGCAGATTTTTCATGACATCTTGCAACTGTGTAATTTCATAATAGTTTGCCAAATTATAATGTAGTTTGAAAGATAATTATTAGGCTTTTAAATTTAGAAATTTGCAGAAACCAATAAAATAGACAAAATATTTATTATTAATGTGATATCATGAATATGAAGTCCCATGTAGCATGCTTATACTTACTTATAGACTTTAGTTTATGGTACTGGGCAATAGCATGAATCAGAAGCCTGTCAAAACTAGTAGGTGGAAACTTGACATAAGTATCTTCAGGCCTGGTTTCAAAAAACTGAATCAAATCTGTCTCACACTCATCAATAACTTCAAACTGCAGATTCTTCCTGATTTTGAAAGTTCTTCTGATTCTTGATGAAATCTTTCCAGGAGAATCAAAATCATCACTAGGACTATTATTAATCTGGTCATTGCAATAGTTTTCTGAAATTTGTCTCATTATCTGAGACTGTTCTTCCTCTGATTTCTCTATGAAGTTGTTCCAGCATTCCATAGCAACTTTATCTTCCAGTAAACGAGTGAAAGGACCTTTGTAGGATTCCATCAACACATACTTTTCCTCCTCATCTTCTTCAAAAGTTGGCAAAACACAACCTAGAACATATTCAAATTCCAGACAACTCTGAAGTTATGGCAGGTGCTGAAAGTTTTACGGTTCTGATATCTTCTCAGCTTCTTTCTCCCAGAGTTTTTCTTAATGTTTATCAGCTCTTCCACCTGTGATCCATGTAGTGGTAATCTGAATAAAGGTAATCTGTGTACCCTGTGTGGCTCATCATTATTGATGGATTCTGTATCACTAGCAGGGACACTTCCCAAGCTGAAAATTTAGGAGATTCTCAACCTAAACTACTCCTAACAGGAAATACCAGATACTTACTTCAAGGATTCTGTATCTGAGGCAGCAGCTGAATTGGGTTTAGGATAATTGTAGCCTTGCTTTTCTTTTATTACTGTCATTATTATGTAAAGAGGGCTACTTGCTCCTTGAGCAGTCAGCAGATCTAAAATTTAAAAAGACAAGAAACGAAAACTAATACAAACATAAAATAAATATTTATAATTTAGTAGTCAAGTTAAAGGTTGTTGAAAAGTTGACATTTACCTTTGGCCTTGGGAGGTGTCGGGACCTTGGGACTTGACACTGTTGACAGAATAAAGCAAACAACACTGTTGCCGCTATTGAAACTTTCGGTGACCGAGTGCCTGCAGACAGTTCCCGTCATCCACTATCCTGACTTCCAACGCACGACTATGCACACGATGCGAGGAGCATGTTCCGATATTCCCGAACAGTACTGCTTCAACGTTCCGATTTTACTGAAATTTACTGCAACGTTTTCGCACATCATTGCATACATATAGAGGCTGAAAGTTCACTGCATGTTGGCCACTGGTGCAGAAATGGTAGCGTTTGAATTATAAATTACTATTTTCAAATACTTTGGGAAAATGTATGGAGTCGAACTGGAAGATCTCACAGTGGCAGTAGACGCTGAAAGAGCCACTAATCCACAAGATGGTTTGTTATTCACAATTTTGATATCAAATATTTCACAGCTATGTCATCACTCGAACTAGATGTACTAGAGCTTGGTGTTTCTGATGAATCATAATCACTATCCGTTAATATTTCTTTTAAGATAATATCATTAATCACCCCATCCAAAATTCAACATGAGAAAAGAAGATAAGAATGATGAAAATAAAAACCAACAAAACATCGAAAGATCATAGGTTATGGTTATTTTTTGCTGCCAGAAATGAGATGAGAATTCAAAGCTACTGCTGTTAAAAGTGTTCCTAAATTCGTTACTGTGGCCAGTAATGTCAGCAATATCGGAAGTTGACCGAGATTTGAGATAAGCCAGATAAGCGTCAGCATGCCACGCCTACGGTCCGGTTGTCTATGCGAGGGAGAACTTTCAAAGTGATCACAAGATAATCCTACCATATAAAATTCGTGAATATGCGTCTAATTGGCTGCACCAAGCTCGCTGGCTGCTCGTATTTTCGTAATTTCCATGAAGCGATATAAAAAATATATGTCTGCCCTATTAGACATCGATTTATTCCAGCTATCATTTGGTGTAAGATGTATTTCTGAAATCTGTACCGTTTGGGGATGAAAACAGTATTGATTCAACAATAAATACCTGCGTGTCCAGTTATTGTCCAATGAAACAGATAGCTACTATGCAAAATATACCTACTCACTAGCGCTAGCTTGCTTTCCCATTTATATTGTCCAGTGCAACCTATAGCACTAACATTTTTGGATAGTTAACAATGAAACTCGCGTAATGATACTTCATCTTCATCTTTAATCTTGGCTGATTAGTCGGTTGTGGTTATATGTATAATGTAAAAATTTCACCAATGTGCTTGTAGTTTCTGCACAACGGACTTTATTAAATTTGAGTGACTTGCATACAATTCCAAATCCTTGTGTATATCAACCCATTGTACATGTTGAGCATCATCACCGGCCTTCAGATCAAATTTCCCTACAACTTCTCCGGTTTCATCGTGGAAATTAACGGCTACCGTTTCCATCCATGCATTGTCGGTATTCCTGGGATCATCTACATAACCTAAAAATAAAGATTTGAAATTTCAAATCCAGAGGAACTTCATCATGTAGTATGACAAAAAATTGAGAAAAATATTTCAAATCACCTAGTTAGTTTGTTCTATTCAATGAACCAAAATTATCTGATCATTGGACGAAGATAGGTAAGAGATATAACTGATGTCTATCAATTGAGATGGGAACCTGATACAACTTTCTCCAAGTAGCATATAAGATATGACATACATTTCATTGGGATAATATCACATTATAAGTGAAATGACTATAGGGATAATCAAGTATTTACGGTATAGGTATTCGTAACAGGTATGCCTCTTCAACAGTTTGGACAAAGAGGAAATACATGTGACAACAAGTAAGCATACCTATGAGGTAGCAGATAAGAGATTGCTGGATCACGGATCGACGGTATCGCGTTTGAAGCTACGTGACATACAGAGAACAGAAGGAATGCTAGTATTTTTCCTATTTTTTTGTATTGTATTACTATGAGCACGAGATCTCTAGCACGAGCACAGACAGAATAGAATATGCATGCATGACTACTGAGAGATGGCGACACATAAGGCACTTATTAGTGCTGTGGGATACTCCAAGAACATATTAGGTATTCCATGAAATTAATATATGGAGGTGGACTATGGTATGACAAAATGCCATGGTTTAATATGGTAATCAATGTTTATATCATAATACGATATTCGATAATCAGCGGCGTTTATTTGAGGAGTACGAATAAGAATACGCAGCTACGTTGATTGAAGCAGGCTCTGGAGTATTTTGGAACAGGTATGTCAAAGAAAAGTAGTTACAGCCTTCCCTAGAAATGGCCCCTTCTTATCCCTTCAACAAACCTTGCTTTATTTAAAAGTGATTATCAGCTCTACCAGCTTTGAAAAAAATAGATAGCCAAAGTGGCGCCAAAGAATATAGGTTAGTCACCTCTCCTCTTTGGTGGCGCCATCTGGTTATCAAAGTGTCAAACTTACAAAGAGCTGATTCAGCAAGGGCATTTTGGTCCACGTTTCTAATCCTAAAATGGATCATCTAACTACTGATGAAACAGAAGAATTGTAATTAATTCACTATGTGAAATTAAGAAATTGTAAATGATTCCATCATCACTGTTCATTCTTCCTCAAGTTTAAAGAGTTTACACTAGATCCCACTACACTTGACTCTTGACTACAAGGAAAGCAACACTCCACTACACTCGTCCATGCCAAAAGTGTAGTGTTGAAATGTGAAGTGTACTAGTGTACAGTGTACAATATTAATTTCATGCAGAAACAGGGACCTCAAGTAAAAGTTATTTATGTAATAAGGATCATAAAGACGATCATTGGTACAAGTCGTGAATGTTATCGGGCGAGGCGTAGCCGAGTCCGATAACACGGCGTGTGCCATAATGATTGTTTATGATTCGTATTACATACAAAATTTTATCTGATGGCATTTGCATTTATATCAATACATTTTCAAAAAATTAAAAACTGCATTTTCGACATGTCACAATGACAACTATTTTTAAAGGAGTAAGTATTGTGTAGTTTCAAATATTAGTAGGTGAGTGAGCTGTGCTTTGCCATTATATTAATATTACAAATTGTAGTAATTGTTCTTTTACCATCTATTTATAATAAATAGTTTTGTACATAGTTATGCATTTTGAATGAACTTTTTTGATCAAACCATTACATGTTTTCCTTATAGAATTTCATTATGGTACTTAGTACCATAATGAATTCATTATGGTACTTAGTCCCATAATGAATTCATTATGGTACTTCGTCCCATAATGAGCTTCCTTATGTCATCAAAATTGAGTGACATAACGTTGTCATTATGACATGCCATAAGATAAACTTGATTATTTTATTTCATGATTTTCATTAGTGGACTAGTGGAGATGTTATTGTTATAATATACAGATACCTTCATAAATTGTTACACCTCCAGAAAAAAATAATTTGATGATTTTTGCATCATTTTCTCTTTGTTCTTCTGAAGCTTCTAGACTATTCAAAGCTTCTTCTAGAAATTCCCTTTGAAGAGTTTCTGTTACTTTTTCCCCAGGATCAACCATACCACCTGGCAAAGCCCACTGTTTGCAGTCTCTCCTCTGAATTGAACAGAATTGCAGAATAGGGCTGAAAAATATTTTTCAAAGATCTATTACCACTGAATCAATTATATTTTCATGTCATACAGGTTTGTTGAAGGATCCAACAATTTTTTGCTATCAACCAATTTCCATCTAGTTACTATAGGGTCAGCAGCGTGATTTGGGCCCCATTTTCCAAGAACACCTCGACCCTTAATGCCAGTTCGACCTTCAGGATTCAATGGTCGGCCATCAGAAATCTTGTAGTCTCCCATATGACTTCTTCTATTGATCAACCCATCCAATTTGTTCCATTGTGGTTTGAAATCGGGATTATCTGAAAATCCACTGAGTAGGGAGTTTTTAAGATTGGGTATTTGATTATTAACCAAGTGGAGGGTCAGCCCATGGTTTATTCAGCAGTACTTGGGAGTTATATTCTGGAGGATCATAGCTATTCCAAGGGAAGCTCCAAGGCACTTGCTCATCAGTAACACTACTCCTTATAACTTTACTGAACGGATACACAGTATTTCTGCACTTTTCATGAAACATTCTCAGAGGTACATTGATTCTTTTCATGTACCAGAGATTCAGAGATATCTAATGATTCTAATAAATAATAAATTAAAATAATAAACAAACCTCATATGAGTGAATCACACAAACTTATGATGAATAATGCTACGCGGGCGGAGTCATATATATGATTATAATCCACGGTAGCGATCGTTTAGCTATTCCGCCAGCTGACAATCATGCGACCTTAGAGTAGTTTATCAATCTTGATTCTCCTACCACTGTCTGTGGTCAACTTATAAACATCTCAAGTGTAACCAAAGAGCTACTATTCTTTGGTGTAACTACTGTAACTAGATAAAAGGGCTTTCACACAGGGTTGATAGTTGCACAATACTTGGTAACAACTAGAGTCACGATGGTATTTGTTTGATAAGAGTTCGGACACAGCTGAACTTTTGTCCTTTTCTATAATATAATGGTTTAGGTGAATAAAAGAATAAGACATATATTCTGCTCTTTGTCTTTTCAATTTCCCTAGTAGTGCCTGATTGTCAGATACAATTTCAGAGGTTATATTTTCTGTCAAATCAATCATAGCCGTAGATGGACAATGGGTATAGGGTACAAACACCCACTTCAATTTATAGTGATACACTTCTAACAGAACAACTGTTAAAAATATAAATGGAAAGAATGCATGTAACAACATTTCAATATTAGAAAATATACACATATGGATGAACTTATAGCTATAATTCCTTATTATATGTGAAACTGTACTCCAGTGAGGAGTATAAAACATGAAGTTATTTATATTAAATTAAAGGTAGATATTCTCAATATACAGGAAGTAACATAAGTACTTTCAAGTGAAGTATTCCTGAGACAATTATAAGAAATAAAGTCTATATAAGCTTTTGTGTCCGGAAATGCTTCATTTCGTAGATACAGAGCCCAGTCAACACACGGACATTCGATGGACATCCATTGGACGTCCATTCAGGATATTTGGGATATCCAGAGAATATCCACTGATATCCGATGTATATCTTATTATGGACGTCCAATGGACGTGCCGAGTGGAAGGAGTTGGACTTCTATAGGATATCCTTCAGGGACATCCATAAGACATTTTTCAGGGATATCCATAAGATATTGTTCACAAATATCCATAGGACATTTTTCAGGGATATCCATAAGATATTGTTCACAAATATCCATGAGATATTTTTCAGGGATATTTACTAAATATCCTTAACAATATAGAACACCATGTATATTATTCCATAATGAATTAGGAACTATTATAACGAATTCAACGGTACCGGATTGGATAGGGTTATTTCAAACGATTACGAAGATATTTGCATTCGAAGTTTTCATATGCTCATTGAGGATGTTGGGAATAGAATTTTAATATGGTTTTCTCTGAATATTGTTAGATTTTCTATAGTTACAAGGAGTTGTTAAACAGTAGACATGTCAGATAGAAAATAAATTTGTCAAACAAAAGTCATTATTTTTGCAATTATTATAATACAATTCCGATAGGTTTCTTGAACCTTACATACATTAGTATTATTCTACATTTGGCGACCGTGACATCGAATATGGAAGCCTATCAAATCAGAAGAGACCAGCTGAGAAAACATATTGACAAAACTTGCATGGATATAAATAACGTTTTGTCACAAGAAAATCCAGCTAAAGATAAGGTCATTGTGCTAATCCGACTTCTAGAAGATAAATGCGATCGACTCTTCAGCATAGATGATAATATTGGACAAGTATTCTTCAGTCAAGAGCTCAGAAAAGAAGAAATTGAGAAAGAGTTAGACGATGTGGAAAGCTACAGAGATAAGATCACCAGCATTCGTTCTAAGTGCGACGCGTTTTTGAAAGATGAGTTTCTCCTAAAGGAAGATCAAGAAAGCTGCTCACAGAGTTCTCATGGAGAAAGAAACAGAAGAAGAAAATTCGTCTTACCAAAGCTGGAGTTGAAGAAATTCAATGGAGATGTGAAGAATTGGTTAGGTTTTTGGGGGCAATTCAAGAAAATCGACGAAGATGAGGATATTGATTTGGATGACAAGTTTCAATACCTACTTCAGGCAACAGAACCGAAATCTTCAGCACGGGAACTTGTCGAAAGTTTTCCTCCAGCAGGTGCTAACTACAAAAAAGCCATTGACCAGTTGAAAACCAGGTTTGCCAAGGACGAATTTCTAATAGAGGTATATGTTAGGGAGTTGTTGCATTTAGTACTCAAGCAAGCAAGCAACACAAAATCAGGTATGACTTTGGCCACATTATATGATAGATTAGAAACGCAATTGAGGGCACTAGAGACATTAGGAGTAACACGGGATAAATATGCAGCGATGCTTTTTCCTCTTGTGGAGTCTGCACTACCAGAAGAGTTACTCAAAGTTTGGGAAAGACATCGAAATGCAAATAAAATCCAACAGGTTGATGACAAAAAAGACTCCAGAAGTAATTATTTATCTCTGTTACTAGAATTTCTGCGTGGTGAGGTAGAGTCGGAGGAGAGGATTCAATTAGCACAAAAGAGTTTCAAGATAGACAAGGAGCAGGTTAAGCAGATGAACAATGAAGGAAAACGACAAAATGGCCCTGAAATGTACACCGCTGCAGCACTTCACTCTACTGGCACTAAAGATGGATTTCAGAGTAAGAAATTTCCAATTTGTATATTTTGCGAAAATTCACATGCTAGTCAGGACTGTTTGAAAGCTCACAATATCTCATTAGAAGATAGGAAAAAACGGATTATTGAGAAAAGAGGCTGTTTTGCATGTCTCAAGAAGGGACATTGTGTGAAACAATGCAGACAATTCATAAAGTGTTTAATTTGCACAAGAAAACACTACCCTTTACTTTGTCCTGATTTGCCTGTTAAAAAAGTTCATTCAAATGCTAGCCAATCGACTGATAGTCAATTGAATGTACGTGAAAAAGATGAAAAACTTATGACGATAGAGCAAAGTTTGATTAGTAATTACACGTCCCAAATTTTATTACAAACAATTATTTTGAAACTAGTCAATAAAGACGAGGTTAAAATTATTAGGGCTCTATTAGACTCTGGGTCTCAGAAATCATATATTTTATCAAACTCTGCCAGAGAATTGGGATTCGAAAAGATTTCTGAAGAAAATATTATACAGGGTGTTTTTGGAGGTCAACAGTCACCACCGAAAGTACATAATAAATATGATATCACCATTCGAAGTTTGGACAATCAGTTTCAATGTTCACTATCAGTTTTGGACCAGCCAAAAATTTGTAATTCACTTCCGAAACTTGAAGATGCCAGCATAGTCAATATACTTAGAACTAAAGGCATTTTGATCACAGATTGTTGCGAAGACACTCCTATAGAAATTGAGTTGTTGTTGGGAGCTGAAATCTTCGGTAGATTACTCACTGGTTGTACCGAAAATATAGACAATAGTTTAGTGGCAATAGAAACACATCTAGGTTGGACAATAATGGGAAAGTATCAGAAAAATAACAGTTTTCACATATTCTCTGGATTCACTGATTTTTCCATTCCTGATTTGTGGGAACTTGACAGAATAGGTATCAAGGAACCAGCTGATAGTCAGAAGTTAGATTCGCTCGGAGATAGTACGATGAAGTTTTTTAAAGATACTATTTTTTTCAATGGGGAAAATAGATATGAAGTCAATTTACCATGGACTGAGGGTCACCCCCATATTGATAATAATTTTAGTATTGCACACAAACGGTTATTATCAAATACGAATAAATTGATCTCTATGAAAAAATTCGAAGACTATCAGAATGTGTTTTTAGAATGGGAAGAGTTAGGAATCATAGAAGAGGTTGGAGAAAAAACGGAGGGTTTATCTGTACATTATCTTCCACATCATGCAGTGATCAAAGAATCTAGTGCCACTACAAAGATTCGACCTGTATTCGATGCTTCGTGTAGGGATGTCAATGGAGTTTGTTTGAATGGCTGTTTAGAGAAGGGTCCCAATATGATTGAGTTAATCCCTCCATTGATACTGAAATTTCGAATAGGTGTTTTAGGAGTGACGGCAGATATAGAAAAGGCTTTTCTACAAATCAGTATCAATCCTAACGATAGAGATTTTCTCAGATTTTTGTGGTGGAATAATTTAGCAGAGAAGCAGTTGAAGATTTATCGACATTGCAGAGTGGTATTTGGAGTCAGACCCAGTCCATTCTTGTTAGCAGCGACGTTGGCACTTCATTTAGATAAGGTTCCGGACGAGTATAGCGCGACTGCAGATAGACTGAAAAACTCTTTTTATGTAGATAATTGCATCACAAGTCTCAATAGCAAAAGGGATCTAGATATCTTCATGAAACAATCCAAATATCTTCTTTCGTCCGCAAATTTCAATCTCAGGGGATGGATACATAATTTTGTGGATGATGAACATAACATTCACACTGAGAATGGTGGAAAAACTGTTTCTGTCCTCGGATTGATTTGGAATTATGAGTTAGATACTCTTCATTGTGATATAGGGATACTTGATCTTGATGGAATTCCTAGAACGAAAAGGGGATTATTATCAATGGCGCAAAAGGTTTTTGATCCAATCGGTTTCACGAGTCCAACAACATTGATTCCAAAGCTATTGCTTCAAGAAACTTGGAAATTAAAAATTGATTGGGACAGTCCTCTGCCAGAAAATATCATCAAGCCTTTCGATAAATGGCTGAGAGAACTTCATTTCGTCAGTTTATGCAGAATTTTGAGACCATTCCGTGAATTTTATAATCTGCAAGACACTGATAATTCCTCCATACACGTATTTTGTGATGCGAGTATGTCGGCCTATGCTAGCTGTATATTTTTGAGAACAGAGATAGACGGAAATCCTTCAGTAACCCTTATTCAGGCTAAGTCAAGGGTGGCTCCTAAGAATATCACTATACCAAGGCTCGAGTTATTAGCTACAGTTATCGGAGTAAGATTGTGTAAAATGGTAAAGGACATTGACGTTTTCAGAAACATGGAAACTCATTATTGGAGTGATTCCATGGTAGCATTAGTTTGGATCAAAACGAAAGAAAATTGGAATACTTTTGTAGGAAATAGGGTGAAGGAAGTTAGGTCTTGCAGTGAAATTAGTCAATGGCATCATGTACCAGGGGTCATAAATCCAGCGGACATTTGTTCCAGGGGATGCAATGGAAAGATTTTACTCGAGAAGCAATGGTGGAAAGGTCCAGAATGGTTGATGCTAGGAGGGGATAGTTGGCCATGCAGTGAAATTATTTGTAGTGAGGAGGAAGTTAACAAAGAGAAGAAGAAGTCTGTTGTTTCTTATATCGTATCTGGGCAAAGTAACCTTACTGCTGATTACAATTATTTTTCGAATTATAACAGGATAACGAGAATGATTGCGTGGATATTTCGTTTCTGTTCTAACTGCAAGAATAAAAGTGACGACTTTATGGGTGATCTTGAAACTGATGAGATTTATCGAGCTGAAAATTACCTTCTCAGAATGGTCCAACAAGAGAGTTT